AGTAATAGTCTAAATTCATTGCAAAAGTTGATTAAAGGTTGGGAAAATAGAATATTAAAATGGAATTTATGTCTCATTATTTTCCGTATTTAAACAAAAAGATAGAATTAATAACATATATTTAAATAATAGGTTAGCTTAATAAGAAGAAAAATTAGAATTAATTTTAGGATGGTTTTTAGGGTGTAGAATTATACCAAAAAGTGATATAAAATAAAAATGTTCAAATTTGCTCTATGATCGAAGATTTAGCTTACTGGTTCATTATCTTTGACTATTGTTAATAAAAAAGTAGATTTAATGCTTAAAAGAAAATTGAAAAATGATTTCAGAAGGACAAGAAAATACTGTTAATTTATTGATAAGGTGAATCGTAACAGGAACGATAAGTTTATTTAATTAAAGTGATACAATTTATAAAAATATAGATTTTTTTTCCATTTAAATTGAAACCCAGATAATCTAGTATCTATTAGGTCATACAAAAGAGTATAAAAATGTGTATCAAGTAAAATCTTATTCATCTAAAGTGGAGATAAAAGCACCAAGATCAGATTTTATATATCTTAGTAAATGTGAATTAAATGAAAAGCTAAGAGTTCTTACAATATAGAACGTTTATCCAATAAAACAGGGAAATAGAATACTCTTTTAAATATTTTTATGAGAACTATTTTACTTTAAAAAAATTTATTCTTTTAATTTGGTTTTATGAACACAAAGAAAAATATGATTGTAACTGGTGAAAAAGGGATTAAAAACCCGTCAAACTATTCTAATATGATTTATATACATTTGAACTAAATTGTTGTAAATACTTTATAATTATCTTTTTTTAAGGAATTAAATATAATTAATTAGTTAAATATATTGTTGTTGATTGTGTTTTGAAATTTTTACAATAATCAATTGATAACTTTATTTATTATTTTAATCTGTTATTTACTATGAATAACATTTACTCAATCAAAATTTGACTGATAATAAGTTAATCAACATGTTTGATTATATAACTAACTACAACTACTAAATATTTGTGGTTTTAAATATATTTTACAAATAAACACTATCATTATTTTGTTATAAATTCATTAAATGATAAAAAATTTAAAAGTTTTGTAAATATTATACTTTAAAAGCAAAAAAATTAACCTCATATTTTAATTAATCATCGATTGTTTCAATGTCTGTAAAGTCGTAAATAAATTGAATACAACTATCAGGGTAATCTATAAAAAATTCTACAATCAAATTCATAAAAATCATTTCAAATTTTAAATGAATAATATTGATTTCCATATTATTTGTTATGTCATTTTGAGTTTGATTTTCTAAATTAATGGCAGTATTAAAGATACTTAGTATTTTATCATGCATTATATCAATGAAATCCTCACAAAACAATTTAAACGATGATACAACCTGTTCTTGATCTTTGTAATATTTAAAGCCATACTTTTTAAATTCACATGGGTAAAACGAATATTTTGCAATAGATATCAATTCACGTAAAAATTTTTCAAATTCTTTTGTTACAAATTCATAATTTTCTTTAAAACTTTCATTTTTAAAATATGCATCTAATAATGAAACATCTGTTGAAAACAAGCTTAGGTAGCTTTTATAATGAAATTCTTTATTAAAAATAACAGAATCTTTAAACTTAAAAGATAATTCTTTTAAATGAAAAAAACAAATATTTTTTAGTAAATAACACTTATGTAGTTTGTCCAAACTGTGCACTAATTTAAAAAATTTCTGAACATCTAAGTTTTTTTTAGAATTTTTCACAATGTTCTATAACTTTACCATCTGTACTTTCATTAAGTATCTCTTTAATTTTCATCAAATATCTACTACATTTTTCAATTAATCGTGTAGAATGATTATAAGGGGCTGAATTGTATTGTTTAAGCCATGAAATAAAACTATTTTTTATATCCATTCCAACATCTATTAAACTTGTTAGCAGATAATAATGTTCAGTATTATTGCATTTGATATATGTTGTTTTTCTATTATCTGAATTGTTAATAATTAAATATTTTACTGAAATTGATTGAGGTATTTCTATAATTCCAGATTCAACTATAGATTCTTCTTTAAATTCTGATCTTAAATACTTTTTTAAAGTTATTGTAGGAAAATTTTCTTGTTCATTTACGTTAAAAAAACTTTCATCACTTGTTTCTATATCTTCCGACGTATTTAAATTTGTAATTAAAACAATAGAATTGTTTAAATCAACACAATTTACATAAAATAACTTTGTT